AGAATGGCGGGTGATAGTGGCGCTCCATTTCAGGGCACGCAGCGGCGGACGCCAGATGCCCGCCCCTAAAAATGTGCCCTGGCCGCCCTAGCTCACCTCCGCTGCTGCTGCCACGGCGCGCAAAACAGCTGTTCCGCGCCCCGCGCCGGCTCGGGGTCTCCCCCTCCCTCCCAGGCTCTCAAACCTGGGAGGGAGGGGGAGATCCCGAGTGGCCGTGGCGTGAGCGCCGCTTGTCCCCCTCCCTCCCTCCCTCCTAGGCTTGAGAGCCTGGGGATTTGGGGAAGGGGCGGAGTTGAGGCGGGGCCGGGGGTGGGGTAATTAAAGAACGGGGGGGGGGCGGCCAAAATTGTTTTGGCTTTGGGCGGCAAAAATCCTAGAGCCGGCCCTGCCCCGAACAGCCCAAACTGAGCACTGTGGCAAAGCAGGTCTGTTGGCCGAGCACCTAGGCAGCCCAGGGGTGTCTGATACCGTCTGCTCCTGAGGTCTGCTCCCCCAGCTCATCCCCACAGGGCAGTGGGGGAGCCCATTTAGACCCCGCTCACATACACAGGGCTGATTTTGTCCACCTTGTGCTAACCAATGGATTCCTTGAAAGGAGCTGTACTGTGGGGGTCCCTACCTCTGGTACCCCTGAACGGGGCTCATGTTTGTGGCTTTGCCAGGAGGCCAGTTAGGTTTTAAAGCTGAAATCTCACAAACTCAGTTTGGAAGTTTGGTGACTATTCTAGCTGCTATTTGAATGGGATTGAAGCAGGAGAGCCCCTTTTTCTGGGCCAGCACAACAAGGGGACGCTCTGAGACAGGCAGTATGAAGGCTGGGGGCAGAGAACACCCCGTCAGTCAGGGTCAGAGATAAATGTAACAGGGAAGAGGAGAAGGGATGTTCCCAGGGTCACACAGGATCCCTCCAGCAGAGCTGGGACTGGAACCCAGGAATCCTCACTCAGTCTTTTTTGTTTTGTATTCCTGCTCTGCAAGATGAGCAGGTGCATTGCAGGCAGGCTAGACAGGTCCTGCTCTGGAAGCGCTGAGATGAGGACAGGAGGGATAAGCACCGAGGGTGGGGCAGAGGGGAGCGGGATGAACGGGCCGTGTCTCAGGGGGAAGTGATGTCCCGTGTTTTTACCAGAGGGCCAGAGCCCTCAATTCTTGTTCAGTCCCTTTCTTCCTGCTCAGGAACTGGCTCTGGGGTGCTGAGGGTGGAGCCAGGCGACACATGGACTGTCCATGCCAGAGTCAGGAACACGAGAAAGGAGACACACACTGAGCTGAATGCTCGAGGGTAAGTTTATTATCACGTCACTGTGCTGAGATTGCTGAGAAGAGCCGAGCGTGGGTGCGACAGGGAGAGAAGGGGGCAGAGCAGAGCGGGAGTGACACAGCGTAACACAGTGATGCTTTGCAGAAGGGACTTTGCAGCCGGGGACTCAGGATCTGGTTTCCCAGGGGAGCCGGAGGGACCCGATTCACTCACAGCCCAGGTGCTGGGAGCCCCCAGGTGCAGGCGAGCTGCCTCCCCTAGGGTTTGTGCTTACAAATGAAAGGGAAACTCTCTTCACAGGGATAATCGTGCCATTTCTTAAAATCTAGAAAGAAAAACAGAAATGACCTGTGGGATGGGGCAGGCTGGGCCGTTCCTCTTCATACACTGACCCCTCCTCCACCCAGTGCCGTGCCCCTCGGAGAAGATCCCAGCTCCTGTGCACAGTTCTGAGGAAGAGGAGGGTAGGATGAAGCCCTGAGCAGCCCAGATTGGGGCAGCCCCATCTTTCGAAGAGAGGCCGAGGCTCAGTGTGAAAGGGGAGAGGCCTGGTCCATGTGCTACTGCTCCTACCTCCCCCACCCCATGTGCCCCCCACCCCAGCCAGAGGGCAGAGGAGAGAGCGAGAGCCCTGCCCCGGGACTGGGGGAACCCGCTCAGGAACTGGGCTGCTGCCCCCTCCCTGCTGAGTGAGCTGCCCCACAGCCAGGCCCCCTCCATGCCCTGCCCGCCTGGGTCTGGCTACACCCATGGGAACATCTGTCCCAGGCAGGGCTCAGCCGCCATGCAGAGGGGATGTGTCCCTGCCCCAGGAGTCAGTGTTACCGGCCTGCTGTGCACGGAGCTGCATGTTCCTCCCTCAGACCCCGTTACCCCTCTGCTCTGGGGGTGTCTGTGCCCGTGGGCTGCCCGGCAGTAGTATTCCTGCTTAGTCAGCCCAGACAGCGCCCAGGGAAGGACAGTCCTGGGGCTGGGCTGGGTGGGCTCAGCCCCTCAGTAGCACCCCAGGCCCAGCAGGGAGCTCCGCGGGGGGTATAGGCCGGTCTCAGAGCCCTGTTCCCTTGGGTGCGGGTTTCTGCTGCTGTTTGACTCTATCCTGTCCAGTGACTGCGGCCCTGGCTGTGCCTATCTGCCGGCATCAGGCCTGACGGACACTGAGCCTGTAACTCAAGACTGTATCATGATTCACATGCGCCAGGGGCTGAGTTAAAGTTATAGGGGTAGACTTAGTCTGGCCCTTCCTCAACTTTGTGACCTTCATGTTCCTTTAACATAGTTTATGAAAGTAACAAATACTTAATGTTTTAGTTAAAGGTTAATTGATTATTAATAGGACTGTGGATTAATTGTATTTAACTCATGTGATTTACTAAAAAAAATTAATCACAATAAAAATTTTTTATCACAATTAGTCTCACTGTTAAACAATAGAATACCAATTGAAAAGTATTAAATATTTTGGATGTTCTACATTTTCAAAGATATGGATGCCAATTACAACACATAATACAAAGTGCACAGTGCTCACTTTATGGTATTCTTTTATTGTTTAACAGTGTGATTATTTTTTCTAATCTCTTGACAGCCCTAATAATTTATGTTTTATTTAAGGTTTAATCAATTATTACAGAGCCTAGTGGGTCAATTGGCTGCTTGTCACCGTCTAACATACCTGTGCCAGGCCTGTCCCAGTGATAAATGGAATTGGTCTGAGAGCCCCGGCCCTGCCCCTCGCTCCCCACACCCACTGGCACTGCAGTCCCCACACAGACACAGCCCCCAGTGATTGGGGCCGGGCAGGGAATTAATTGTGTTTTTCACCCCTTTGCTGTTCGACGCCTATCTGCAAACTGACCCCTCGTTATCCACCAACATTTGCTAGTCACTGCCTGGGCCATTCACAACTTCTTCCCCATCTCGCTGGTGCTGTGAGCACCTGGTCACTTACACCACCTCCTGCGGGGTCTGCTCCCTGGCTGCAGCTTTTGCTAAAGATCCCCTGAGGAGACTGCGCAGCACTTTCACAAGCAGCCGTGAGTAACACGACCTCATGAGGGGGCCAGGTGTGTGTGTGTGTGTGTGTGTGTGTGTGTGTGTGTGTGTGTGTGTGT